ACGCAGCGAAGGAGCAGAAACAAGGAGCAGGAACTTCTCTTTTTTTTATTCACGTTCTTCTTTCATGAAGAGTATTACATGTATATATAGATAAGATTACAACTCAAATTCTTATCCAATAACTAGAAAACTATCTACTAACTAGTATTCTATTCTAACTAGAATTCTATCTATTAACTAGGACTGATTAACAAACTTACATTCTCCCCCTTAATCTGGACTAGACTCTAAGTCCCTTACTCCTAGCAGCTCCCGCATCTCGATGAACTTCACCCTTGTTAGTGCCTTCGTGAGAATATCTGCTCGCTGCTCGCTCGTGCTCACGAACTCCACTTTAATCTGTCCTCGCTCAACACACTCACGAATGAAGTGAAATCGTGTGTCAATATGCTTGCTTCTTCCATGGAAAACTGGATTCTTCATCAAGGCAATCGCAAACTTGTTGTCGACGAAGAGTGTAACCGGCTTGGGCTCACTCCCAATCACCTCGCTGATTAAACTCCTCAACCACAAGCCTTGGCACGCTGCTGCAGTTGCCGCCATAAATTCTGCCTCGCAGGATGATAATGCCACCGTCTTCTGCTTCTGTGATGTCCAAGTGACCAAACTGTCACCTAGATAAAATGCCATGCCGCCTGTGCTGCGCCTGTCATCAACATCTCCCGCAAGATCACTGTCAGTGAATCCCACCAACTCTTCATTGCCTCGACCTCGTTTGTACACCAATCCGTAGGACATAGTACCCTTCACGTACCTCAAAATATGCTTGACAACCTGTCTATGCAAAACTGTAGGGTGCTCCATGTACCTACTCACAATCCCCACGGCATATGTGATATCGGGTCGGGTGTGAGTTAGATACCTCAAACATCCGATAATGCGTCTATACTCCGTCACGTCCACCGGTGTTCCTTCAGAATCCTTTCCAAGCTTTAGCTTTGCTTCCATAGGATATTGTGTCGAGTTGCAATCCATCATGCCGAACTGACCCAAAACCTTCTTCGCATAGGCCGCCTGCCTTAGTGCAATACAATCATCTCGCTGATCCACCTCGATACCAAGATAATAGGAAAGCAATCCAAGGTCACTCATCTCGAACTCCTTCATCATTTGTTGCTTGAAAAACTTTATCTCATCCGCCCTCGAGCCCGTAACGATCAAGTCGTCCACGTACACGCCAACAATGAGTGTATCCCCTCTGTTACTCCTTGTGTATACCGCCTGCTCCTGAGTGCATCTTGCAAATCCGATGCCCTTCATGCACTTGTCGAGGCGCGTGTTCCATGCCCGAGGTGCTTGGCGTAGACCGTAGAGTGCCTTTGAAAGCTTGTAGACCTTGTGCTCTTGATTCTTCACAACGAACCCTTCAGGTTGAACCACATAAACTTCTTCCTGGAGATCACCATTTAGGAACGCCGACTTCACATCCAAATGGTGCACCTCCCACCCGTTCTGTGCTGATATAGCGAGGATTATTCTGATGGTATCAAGCCTCGCCACAGGTGCAAACACCTCATCGAAGTCCACGCCTTGCTGCTGGACGTACCCTTTTGCTACAAGTCTTGCTTTGTGCTTGAGGATGTTGCCTTCATTGTCCTTCTTCAGCTTGTACACCCATTTGAGACCAATGGGTTTGGAACCCCGCGGTAACTCCGTGAGTACCCAAGTCTTGTTCTTCTCGATGGCCTCCATTTCCTTCTCCATAGCTATCCGCCATTCTTGATCTGATGCGGCCTCGAGATAGTTCGCAGGTTCTTCAGAAATCAGGAACAATTCCTCTGCAGGAAGATCGATCACCTCCGTCTCCGCATAGATGTCCGCAAGAGATCGATAGCGTACAGGAGTCATAACTGCAGCTTCAGGGGGTCCGAACGCGTCCAAAACAGTGGGGTTCGCTGCCTC